ACAAATTCCTACAGGTTTCATTCTGGAAATAGGGAACCGGGGAGGTAGTTTCGTATTCTTCTCTAATAGAAACCAATTTGAATTTCATGTAAAACTTTTTGTATGTATTGAATCATGGGACAAATGGTGTTTGGACCTGCTTGGCTGGCAGTTCCGAGGCCGACCGAATGCACTTGTAAAGTATGTATATCGGTAAAAATACAGTCGAGGCCTGATCCAGTTGAAAATTTTCACCTCGTCTCCCGGCTGCGCGGTGATGAATCGGTTCACACTATTTTGACTCCACAAGTTGCACCACAGTAGATTTTGATGGCGTCAACACTGACGAGCCGAGCACTACGCACGCATGCATGCATGTGCACAGCACTACGCACGCATGCATGCATGTGCATGTGCATGCACGACACAGTGTATTCAGTGCCCAAGGAATCTACTCCAATGTGCTTCGTCCATAGTCCAAGCCGAGTAGGTCAACTTGCTTTCATGGAGGTCCTGAGAGATACTCATGAGCAACTAGCTACCTGTTGTCGGTCCGATCCATCGATGAGGCCATGGGTCACGTTAGCCGAACGTGCTAGCGTGCACCGCGCAGATTCCTCGGATGGGACTAAACTTTAGTCCCACTCACACCACTCACTATCTATGCATGAATGGGTCAAGAGAATTTGAGAATTTTAGTTGCGCATTGGGCCAAAGGCCTACTAACAAATTCCTACAGGTTTCATTCTGGCAATTGTGAGTCTGGGAGGTAGTTCCGTGTTCTTCTCTAAAAAAACAATTTGGATTTCATTTAAATCTTTTTGTATGTATTGAATCATGGGACAAATGGTGTTTGGACCTGCTTGGCAGGGGCCGTTTCGAGGCCGACCGAATGCACTTGTAAAGTATGTATCCGTAAAAATAAGGCGGAAGACTAAAATGTCTGTGTTAGAAGGGGGATAGAGGATTGGTGGAATAGTTTGTTGTATTGCTTGAGCCTCGTGGGCATATATATAGGAGTACATGGTTACTTGGAGTATAAGACAAGCCGGAACATATCCTAGTCTATCTCATATTTCCTAACTAAACATAATTCTCAACATACTCCGGCAGTCACAACGGTAGCGACGCATACGGTGAGACTGGAGAAGAATCCGAAGGCAAGTCGACGGACACCCCACACAGTGGTAACGGTCGAAGCATCGCGGAAGTCGTGGCTGGAGTGGAAACCGACGAGGTTGCTCAAGCAAAGCGGTAGCCCTTTGTGCCGTTTGTCGAGGTAGCCGAGAGCGTAGGTGGTGTAGCCGTAGTCGAGGTAGCCGTGCGAACAACGTCGTGGTCGGTGTCGAGTCGGGGGTCGCCGGTGCCGAGGTAGTCGACGTGGAGCCATGGAAGAAGAGAAGCGGCGGCGGCAGCCTAAGGAGGCGGCAACGGCTAGAGAAGGAGCTCGTCGGCGGTGCTCGGAGTAGGCGATAATGAAACTGACATCGTGACGAAGGCCGGTGCAGACGATGACGTTCCCACGCCAGGGAAGGCGGCGCGACGTATATCACATGGAAGTCAACGGGTGTGGACTACGGTGGACCGCGGGCCGCAGCGTTACGGCATGAAGGGGCGAGGCAACGACGGCGGGCAGGTCGAGGTGACGACGGAGAAGACCTCAGGGCGGTTGCAGGGATCACGTGTCGCGCTCGCTACGGCCCGACGGGGCAACGCAGCGGTAGCGCGAGGGTCGTTGCAGCTTTGGGGACTGCCTGGAGTGGACGGCCTCGGTGCGGCGGTTAACTGAGGGCCGTGGCACTACGGCCCGAAGGGGCAACGCAGCGGCAGCACGCGAGGTGGTCCAAGCACGGGAACGGCCTCAGGGCGGCGGGGATCACGTGACGCGGCACTACGGCCCGAAGGGGCGATGCAGCGGCTGCGCGGATTGAGGGCAGCCACGGGGAGAATCACAGGGCAGCGGCGCTGCGGCCTGACGGGGCGACGCTGCGGCAGCTTATTGCTCGAACGGCGGAGGGGCGCGCTGAACTCGGGGAAACGGCGGTGATGGACGGTGTAGATCAACGAGAGGGCCGGCACACAGACGACGGCCGTGAAGGGCCGCCTATCTCGCGAGGCCGCCGGGTCGGGGCGACGGGCAGGCAGATGCGCGGACGACGGCCGTTAGGGGCCGCCTGTTGTGTGAAGCTGTCGGGCCGGTGAAGAGGCCGGCCGGTCGCGCCGGTGTCGGAGTAGAGGCGCACGGGGGTCGACGGCAGCGGCGGGCGACGCAAACCAATCAAGCACGGATCGAAAAACCAAAAAAAACGCGAATCAAAACGAGCAACGAGAAAACCCGGAGCAATGGCTCGGGAAAAGACTCTCTAGGGAAGCTGGTCAACACGACCGGTGGACGAACCCTAGGTACGGGCAGCATGGCCCCCTACGGCGGTCATGGAGGCCGGCCACCCCGGGGGCGGCGCGAGGGTGCGGAAGCGGCGGCGGCTAGGGTTTAGAACCCGGAAACTGATACCATGTTAGAAGGGAGAGTGGAATTTAGTGAAATTGTTCTTGTATTGCTTAAGCCTCGTGGGCATATATATAAGAATACATGGTAACTTGGAGTACAAGACAAGCCGGAACATATCCTAGTCTATCTTATATTTCCTAACTAAACATAATACTCAACAGTCTGGTCGGCCGTAAAATACAGTCCTCAACAGTCTGCGCGGTGAGGAATCTACTCCAATGTGCTCCGTCCATAGTCCAAGCCGAGTAGGTCAACTTGCTTTCATGGAGGTCCTGAGAGATACTCATGAGCAACTAGCTACCTGTTGTCGGTCCGGTCCATCGATGCGGCCATGTATCACGTTAGCCGAACGTGCTAGCGTGCACCGCGCAGATTCCTCGGATCGACCTGCAGAGTGGCAATTAATTTCATCAAGACTGACCTAGACCAATGATCATATTGAACAAGCATGCATTTTCTAAAACATAACGGTGGGAACATCATCTTCGAGTCTCATGATGATGGCGTTGTCAGTACAGACCCATGATCTCATTCTTACGAGGAATCCCGTCGACTGTGCCACGTCTGAATAATGTGCTTGCATGTGCACCATCCATTGGCCATGTTAAGTGAACATGGATCGATGAAGGTCCTTAGAGATGCCCACGAACAACTAGGTACTCCCTCCGTCCAGGTGAGTAAATCATCTTAGGTTGTGCACCAAGGAGGAGGGGAAAACGAGAGACCTTAATGTTTATTTGCTAATTAATAGCATTGCATGCAATGAACTAACCACTGCATGTCGTGTTTGGTAATCTCAAGTCATTAAAAGCATAGACACCCCTCATCTCTTATTGGTTGATATATCAAGAAACAAGAAACGAGGTAGAAGCTGATGTACCGCGCCTAAGTGTTTTAGGATTATTTAGATTTCGTAAGATGACTTACACACCTAGACGGAGGAAGTAGTTGTTGGCCACCCCATCGATGAGACCATCACGGTAGCCTAACGTGCTCGCTCACAGATTCCTCGGATTGATTGGCGTGGGAGCTATTTCGTTAAGACCTCAATCGGTTTAGGTCTTTGATCAAATTTTGACATGGGCACTATATCAGATTTTGAGGTTAAACATCCTTGTTTGCTTAGCAATACACCCCATCCGTCTTAAATCCAAATTTCAAGACAAATTCATTAACTAAACTCTAACAGTCATCATCAGTTAAACCATATCTACTTGTGCTTAGGAAAAAATCAGGTAAATGATTTGAACAAGCATTCATAGGACATCATATTTGACTCGATCATGGAAACTAGATTTGTGGTGACATGTTAGCGACGTAGTAGATCAAGGAGGCATCTTGCTTCATGTCAGAATTAACTACTACTTAACCTCAAGTTGTGGAGGAGTTGACTGTTAGTTTGTCACAACAGTTTTAATCGATGCGATTGGACCATTAAAAATCAATCAGTTTCTCGGTCGACCCATGGATCCCAAGTTTTATCAGAGAGGTAGATCTGGCCATTGGATTTTGCTGTGCATACAAAGTTAGACGCGCGACATTTCTACGACACGGATTTAAGTCGCACACCTCAGAGAGCTAAAGTGAGATTGACGGATGAATCGTATACAACTTGTACACAGCTTGCTAGGCAGGTTCCAGTCACATACGTTCCTTCCTCCCATGTGCTTCGTCGATAGTCCAAGCCGAGTATGTCAACTTGCTTTCATGGAGGTCCCGAGATCCGATCCATCGATGGTGCCATGGATGATGGATCATGTTAGCCCAACGTGCTAGCGCGCACCGCGGAGATTACTCAGATCGATCTGCAGAGGGGCAATTAATTTCATCAAGACCAACCTCGATCCATCCAAGTCTTGATCCACACAGCCCAGCTGGAGACACTGTATCAGATTTTGAGTAGCTAGTTAACTGAAGACCTCGATCAATTCAAGTCTTTGATCAACACAGCCTAGCTGGACACGTACTACTCTCTCGTTTCTGATTTATATGATTTAAATCTGAAATCTCATTAACAAAGATAGATGGTGACTGGAGGAGTGTATCTTATAGTTTACAAAATTATTAAAATTTTAATCTGCATTAATTACTGCTGAGTATTATGATTATTAGGAAGTATAGATAGACTATGTTTTTCGATTTATACTCCAAGTTCATCATTGTCTCTTATTTATATGCTCACAATACTCAAGCAATAAACAAAGATTTCACCAATCCCTTTTAACATGGTATCAGCCTAACCGATTAAACCTTAGCCGCCATCTAGACGAGGTTGAGAGCACCATTGATGGTTGATTCCTAGTACATGAGTCGTATATATAGGTAGGTAGGTAGACGCAGTCGAGGGTACCCTCTACAAAGACGCCTGCACGCCAGCCATCACCATTGTTTTGCTTCGTCTTCCAAGGTCTCCCTTTTCAGCAGCTGGTTCGTGCATGGAGCTTTTTTTCTTGTCTTCTGTTGCAACTTTACGGTGCCTCTAATGAGCTAGTTAGCTGTTTGCGTCAGATAGATGGCGTTCACGGTGCGGCGGTCCACGATGGTGAGGCCGGCGAGGGATGTGCCGCGGACTCGGCTATGGAACTCCCACCTCGACCTGCTGGTGCCGCGCTTCCACACGCCCAGCGTCTACTTCTACCGCCGCTCCTGCCCTGAGGGCGAGAGCTTCTTCGACGGCGAGCGGATGCGGTGGGCGCTGGCGGAGGCGCTCGTCACCTTCTACCCGATGGCCGGGCGCCTAGCGTGGGACAAGGATGGGAGGGTCGAGATCGACTGCAACGGGGAGGGCGTGCTGTTTGTCGAGGCCGACGCGCCCGACACTACCGTTGACGACTATGGCGACTTTGCGCCCACAATGGAGCTCAAGCGCCTCATCCCCGCCGTCGACTACACGGACGAAATATCCTTCCCGCTTGTCGTGCTCCAGGTGAGCTCATTCTCTAATGGCAGTTACAGTTACTACAATGACCTCCAGGTGGTCCTCAGTCAGGGTGGACACGGTCCGGGCCGGTCCGGTCCCGGTCCGAGCCATCGTTTCGACTGGCCGCCGGCGGTCCGGGCCGGACCGAACCGAGCAAGCCAGCCGTCCTCTTTTCGGGGACCGGACCAACGAGGCAACAGCCCGGGCTGGACCGGCGGACCGGCCAACCACTCACCGGCGCGAGAGGGTGACCATGGTGTCAGGAAGTAAAGGCTCTAAGCCCTAATCAGAAGGGGGAACTGAGCGGGAAGATGCAGTGACACACGTAGAACATGATGGTGTGGTCGGGGAGGCCGATTCATTCCGTGGCGACGTAGATCTCATGGTCGCGGAGCTCCAGGACATGGAGGTTGGTCGTGGGGAGGCCGGTCGCCGTGTCCAGGAGAGGTTGTGCACAAGACAGCGGCGGCCGCGGCACAGGTGCGTGCTTGTGTGCGATCTTTTGAGCGAAACGTGTCCTACAGAATCGAGGCCCTGGGAGGGATGGAGAGGAGAGCTCAGGTGAGTGGCTGGTGGAGTGGTGGTGCGGCAGGTGGCGCTCGCCGCTGGGATGGGAGAGGAAGACGCGGTGTCGCCGATGTGATTCTCGGTCCGCTCGGTCGGCTTGGTTAAAGCCCGGACCGGATCGAAGCTTTGTCAGGCCTGATTCTTGAGCTTGGACCGACTGATTTTTTTGGGCGGGCTAGGACCGAGCGGGCCACGAGCCGGTCCGAAAGACCGCTCGTGTCGTCCACCGTGAGTCCTCAGACCTTTATTGGGGGCTTAGAAGCCACAAAACACAACTACCTTATGCTCTTGGAGGTTATTTGCCTTTATTTACTAATGCCATTAGTTGGTATGTACTCCCTCCATCCCATAATATAGCGTCGTTTTGCAAGCGGGGCGGAGGGAGTAGTGACCATCGTCATTGGACATACTACTGTTATGCCAGTCTTCATTATTGGGAGTTGGGAGCTTAGAGGCCACACAACACAACCACCATGGAGGTCGCCTTTATTAGCTAATAGTATGTCCGACTTAGTACAATACCGATGAAATATATTTCCATATCTTACGTATTATGTATTGTAGATATTCATCTTTTTTTCTATAAAACTAAGAATATAACTAAGTTTGCACTAGATATTGAAATAGAGGGAGTATGAAATTGGATATTGTAGAAAGACATCCTAACTTTAAATATGTGATTCACCCATGTTTGTTTGACTCTTTTGATATAAATTTTATCTAAAAAATAGTGTTCTCTTTTGTCTGAAGCTCCTCCAATGTCATTTCGCTATCAAATTTGCAGCCACCTAAGACATTTATATGCAAAGCCACAAAATTTTAGAATTTTGATTATTTTTTACTTTTCATCCCGGGTGCAATGCACCCAAGTTTACAAACACCTGTCGCAGACGGACAATTGTACGGTCCTAAAATTTAATTTATCATTTTCTGTGCATACTGCATCCATTTTTTTTCTTATATATTTCAACAAACCGATGCGGCTAATTGTGTTTTGATCATTGAATTTTACTGTACACCTGCAGGTGACCTACTTCAAGTGTGGAGGTGTCTCCCTCGGCGTTGGCACACAACACCATGTTGCTGATGGCATGTCCGGCTTGCATTTCATCAACTCATGGTCTGATCTTTGCCATGGAGCTAAGATTGCTGTCATGCCCTTCATCGACCGCACCCTCATCCGCGCTAGAGACCCCCCGACACCATGTTACCCACATGTTGAGTACCATCCATCCCCATCCATGTTGTCACCATCCATGCCCCAGGATCTCTCTGCTAAGCGATCATCACCTGCCACCACTGTCGACATCTTCAAGCTCACCAGCTCTGACATTGGCCGCTTGCGCTCGCAGCTTCCCAGAGGCGGCGATATTCCACGGTTGAGCACATACACGTTGCTATCTGCGCATGTCTGGCGTTGTGTCTCTCTTGCACGCGGCTTGCCATCTGAACAGCCCACCAAGCTGTATTGTGCCATTGATGGGAGGAAACGGCTAAAGCCCCAAGTACCAGATGGTTTCTTAGGCAATGTGCTATTCACTGCCACACCAATCATGGAGGCAGGCAAGGTAATCAGTGGGGTGGCAGGTACAGCAAAGATAATCCAAATGGAGCTAGACAGGATGGATGATGACTATTGCCGCTCAGCATTGGACTACCTAGAGCTCCAACCTGATTTGTCCGCATTGGTCCGAGGAGCGCAAACCTACCGTTGTCCTAACCTCGGGATCACCAGCTGGGTTAACCTGCCCGTCCACAATGCAGATTTCGGATGGGGCCGACCGGTATTCATGGGTCCTGGTGGCGTCGCATTTGAGGGGCTAGCTTACATCCTGCCAAGCGCAGACAATGATGGTAGCTTGTCCATCGCCATCTCATTACAGGCCGACCACATGAATAAGTTCCGACATTTGATCTACTTGGAACTGTAAGCAAATTGGCATTACTTACCCCTGCCAAAAGTTGCATGACAAGAAATTTGATTTTGGATCTGTAATCTATATACTTAAGCTTTCCATTTGCTAGGCCAAATATGTTGCTCCCGATCTGTGGCTGTGCACAATAAAACACCCACGTTTTTTTTTGCGGTAAAGCCCTCAGGCTTCATTTTTTCATTCTCAGAAATGGTTACATCGTTTACGAGCATTTGCTTAAGGAAGCTAGGTGGTTCATCGACCTATGTACAATATTCAGACAGAATGGAAACTGATCTGGCTACCTCATGAGCTCCCATGTTGGCTTCCCTTGGACATAACTCATACGATACTTCATCGAACGTGCTTCCCTTTTGCAAGGCCAAATCTGTTGCTCCGATCTGTGGTTGTGCACAATAAAACACCCATGTTGTTGGCAAGATAATATGCACCCTTTGTCCAATATTTGCCTGCTTTAGCTACAGTGCGAATATTCCAGTAGTAGCCAAGAATTATAGTCAACTAAGTAATAGTACAAATATGTTACCCAATGTTAAGGGAAAATTTACTAAAACAAAAAATTGTAGAATGGTAAATACATTAAATAAGTTTGATGCCTAGATTGGTAATTCAATGTCCATGCGGAGATTTAAGTAATCTTGATTGGTGGACTCGATAGTTTGTTTCCATCTTAGAGTCGTGCACTATTCCATTTAGGCTTCTAGATATGTGAAAGATGGCAGGGGAAAGGGGCCTGGATTTGCATTCAAAACCTGCCAGGTGCTGCCGGATATCCCAACGAGAGGAAGGATGATGAATGTCTTTAAGCGCAGCAAGCCTTGCTAATGCACCAAGATGTAAAGCTGCCGTCTCCGCTACTAGTGGAGATAAAACAAGGTCTGTGGAGGCTTGAATCATCATCTCTGCACTGGCTTGATCTGTATTTATCTGAACAAAGATGCCGATTACTGTAGCTAGAGAGGGGGGTCTTGATGGGATTCTACAATTTTTCCATGAGGCATCAGAGAAAATCTTGTTCCCTACTATGGAAAGATCAGAAGATATTGTATGTCCATTAGAAGGCGCATGGGGTCTTGTCTCGCTAGGATGCGAATTCCCTACGGAAGAGACAGAAACAGAGTGCTCATCCTGTATATCATTAGCTGCAGTGATTGCAAGTTCCATCTGATGAACCTGGTGAGGCAGAGACTTCTTTCTCTGAAAAAGAGTGTCATTCATGATTTTCCAAAGACTCCACAGAAAAGTAAGAATATTAGGCAAAGAAGCATAAGGATGGCACATATAGAGAATGTGTAGGACAATATTATGCTTTTGGAAATATGCCCTAGAGGCAATAATATTGTATTATTATATTTCCATGCTCATAATTAAGAGTTTATATTTCATGCTATAACTGCTATGATGCTGAAATATGTGATTCAGTGAAAAACTCATATGCACGTGTGGAATGCTAAACGGTAAAAAATAGGTTCCTAGTCTTGCCTCTAAGACTGGCTCAAGTGTTGTTGGTGATCATGTTTTCCGGATCTTAGGATATCGTTAAGTGTAATGATAGTCCTATGAGAGTATGACGTTAGAAGAACAATCATATTGAATCGACCCAAACTTGTTTGTTATATTTTGAGATAATATCGTATGAAATAAATTCCTATAACATGCAGTGTTAACATGTGTTTCTAGTTCACCATACCATGAGAGTATCGCAGTCACTTCCTACCATATGGTGGACTTTGGGGTTGCTCAAACGTCATCTGTAACTAAATGATCATAACGACAACTTACTGGTTCATCGAAAAGTTTGACAAGGGACTGTATAGCTCGAGAGTGGGACTTACTCCTCTGGCGATGGAGAGATATTCTTAGGGCCCTCTCGACGGCATCCATCAGCATCTGGCCAAACATAGGTGACTACATCACGGGGATGCCGGAACACTTCAACGAGAAAGAAGAACAAAACAGGTAATGAGGGCAATGGTATAGTGTGCATGGTGATGACTCAGGAGGATACCGATGCACCCCGGGTTTTGTAAAGTATTGAGAAGAAAATGGAACATCACATAATAACAAAAGGTTCACTCTAATGTCATTCGGGTAATCATACGGATCAATATGGACGTCCACAGTTTCGCTATCGGTCATTGAACGAAGGGGTTTCGTTCATGTCTATGATTTACCAAACCTACGGGGTCACAAGCTTAAGGTAATCACGATCTGCTGAGTGTTAGTAGGACGAGAGTATCGGGGATTTATATGTGAAATTGTTTCATTAATATTCGGAATAGTTCTGAAAAGAATCGGAAGCGTTTCGGGGTTCGGAGTTTATCGGGCAATACCGGGTATTACCGATAAATAATATATAATCAAAAAATGTTTTCAGGGGTGTTAAACTATATATAGTACTCCCTCCTTCCGAAAATACTTGTCATCAAAATGGATAAAAAGAGATGTATCTCAAACTAAAATACGTCTAGATACATCCCCTTTTATTCATTTTGATGACAGGTATTTCCGGACGGAGGGAGTATGCTCTAGTAATTGTTAGAGGGCTTTTATATTTAATTTAACATCAACGGGCCTTAAAGTCCAATACGTGGAAGACAACTTGGGCCACAAGAGCCAAAGTGGAGTTAGCGCCGCTCTCCCTTCCTTGTGTGTGTGTGTGTGGGGGGGGGGGATTGGAGTAGAGGAGGAGTCCAACTCCTCCTCCCTAGGCCGGCGCCCCAAGGAGGGATTTTTCCTCCTTGGTGTATGCTCCTCTCCCCTCTCTAACCTATATATATTGGAGGTGTTGGCCCTTTTCTATACACAAGTTTTGGAGCCTCCTCTAGTTCCTCTAGTTTTAGTTCTAGTTGATCCTAGTTGATCAATTAGAGATTGACCTATATCATCTAATCCTCATAATTAGAAGCCCGGTATGGTTCTAATCTCCTCCCTCTAATTCTCCGGCGATGATTAGCTCTGGATGGCGAAGCGCTGCCGGATCGTGAAGACCGTACACTTGCAACTAAGTAGAGAGGCCCTTCTTTCGGTCTTACATTTGATGAATCATTTGAGGACTGCTCGCGGGATCGTCATCAACGGTAGAGGGACTCCAAGTACGATCTAGACCGACTCGTCTACTTCTGCTGCACTCCGGAGTGGGTAATGGTCGCGATCCCAACATTATATGCATCTTCATATTGTTCCTGGGTGATCGTAGGGCGATTTTTTTTGTTTTCTACTACGTTCCCCAACAGTGGTATCATGAGCGATTCTATGAGTAGATGCCATTTTTTATCTAGATCACATGTGAATGTGAGGGCTGATGTTCTTGCTATGCTTCCCTCGAGTGTTGCTTCGGTTCTGTTCATTGACAACATGGTGTGGCTTTTCACAAGGTTCTGACAATCAATCGGGTCTGGCTGTCGACGATCTACTAACAGTTCCTTTGGCTTGACCATGGTCAAGAATAGTGAACCATCGCATACACAAGAGGGCGATTAAGATGAACGATCTTCTAGTGGGTCACACCTATTTTACGAAGTTTAGTGTGGGGGACGAGATTACTAATTAAGTCTCTTCTTTCACACACCCCAAAGGTTAATCTAGCAATAAGAATTATCGCCTTGATGGTGTGCATGTAGGTAGCTAGTGTTGTCTGGAAACCCTAGAAGCCACGTAATTAAAATTTGCCAAACCCATTAGAGGACGTCTAACTTGGTTTTGCTAGAATTGCATGTGATGTGGTATAGCCTTCATCATGAAAATGAGTTTATGTATGAGATGGTTATATGTTGTAATGTTAAGTGGCCTGCGCGTCATGGCATGATGGCTGGAGCCATGAGATTGCCACGTTAATATAAATATCGTAGATATAGCCTACATGTTACAGGTGACGGTGGCAAGCGTACACGGAGGACCCCGACATGGAGAAGGTGTATTAGGCGCGGGACGAGAAGCTATAATTTCGTGCCACGGTGGAATTTCTGAATTTGGTCCCATGACAACGTTTTCTAAAACGGTTGCCATAACAACGTTTTCTAAAATTGCTGCCACGGCATCGTTTTTGAAACAATTGCCACGGCAACGAAATATTGGCTGCCACGACGCTTCAACTGAAGATTGAAGACGGTCATGAAGGATTCCCGGTGCCCCGGGCTATATCATATCATGCTACTATGAATTGCCTAAGATGTTTATCCCTTTGTTGTTTGCACCCTTTGGTTGCGCAGTAATCAATTATTGGGTGATCTCTCTAGTAAATATCAAATTAAAAGGTGCTCTTCCCAATGTTGCAACCATATATAACGCGTAGCATTCCGGAGTGCTCCATGTCCACATGAGTACAAACGGGATATGAGGTGTTAGAAGGGGATGGTCAGATCATGTATGCAGATAGCACTTGGTTGTCTGAAAGTTCTAGTGGAATCATTCTGAGCTCGGAGCACGAAGAATCAAAAGATGAATAAGAGTCATATGGAGATATGATCGGCAAAGGTTTGCGTACCGATTGAAGTTCATGTCATCAGTGACGTCCACATCAATGGCTGTGAATCAGATCAGGGTCTTGGATCACTTAAAATCAATTATGAGAGATATTGATTTTAGTGGGACCATAATTATGTATTAATTAAGTTTAATGACAAGTGCAAATTAATTATTAACAATGTCTATGTGTAGTTTGCATTATAGTTGTACAATTTTGGCTCATGGTTCCACCTTCTTTGTTGAAATTGATTAGCTGTTATTTATCTGGTTGAGTTTTTATGATTGAGAGGATCATCCTCTAAAAGTTCCAAGAAGGATTTTGTCCTACTGCATGTTTACGATACTCTCTTACTAATGCTATGCATGACGAGGCTCACGTCGTTCCATCCAAAAGCTAGAATTGCATTACGATCTGCTTGCTTCCGAGAAAGCCGAACTTCAAAATGTTTGGGATAGTTATGTGATATTCTTCAAACTAAAAATTGTTTTCAGAAACAAACAAAGGTTAAAAAATATGTGATATCTAAAGA